ATGGAGCTTTAATAAGTTGTAATTATGCATTATTTACTTGTAATCTTGAATTTTAAGTAATATGTATCAATAAACAGTACTTTATGCATAAAAAACGTTTTTTAGGAGTTTTTGTCAAATTGTTTATATATAATATAGATATGTTCACAGTTACTGAACATATATACATACATATATATATATATATATGAATGAGTTATATAAAGATGTGAATAGATTGAAAATATGTGTATATGAAAAACATACATAATAGTGCAATTGTCTAATGTATATATTAGTATAAATTCAACAATCATATTAAATCAAAGAAATAAAAAGATATCGGGTTCATCGGGTTGAGGTCAAATAATATCAACCAAATACCTACGGTTTGACAAATTTTCAACTCAATTAAACATCGAGTTAAGTTATTTCGCATTGGGTTGGGTTTTTGAGCACCCCTAGTTTGAACCCTTGAGGCCGAAGACTAGTTTATAACAATGTGCAATGATATAAAAAGACATATTATAATTGTTATATTTGTTTTCTGATAACTAAATATATTGAATAATAATTAATAAATAATATCAAACATATAATGTATAATTAAACGATATTAATTAGTGATGATTTTTCTTTATTAATATTAGGAATAATAAAAAGCATTAAATAAAGCTGTTTATTCCCTTTTTTTTATGTACTACAGTGGGCATAAAGCAACATAACCTATGTAATAATACTACACACACAGGCACACAGCTACTTGAATATAAATAAAAAAATTATAATAGAATTTATAATTAAAAGAAAATAGAAGTAGAAGTAGAAGGAATACTCTGGAATGGATGTTGTTGGGTTTAAAACAAATCACCGTCTCTTTTCTTCCATATTTCAACACCGAGTCTTGAGAGAGAGAGAGAGAGAAGAAGAAGATCAGAAGGAGACTTCCATCTTTCTGGGTTTGAAGAACAGAGACGATCGAAACGGATTCGGTTTCTTGGTTCACCAACTTCAATCGCAATATCTGAAGAAATCGATGATCGTGAACGAATCCCTGACTTCTCACCATAAGAAGAATGTGTGTTTTTTTGATCTGTTCTGAATCTTGTTTTCGTATTCCTTTATGGGTTTTTGATTCTGTTCTTGATTACTTTCAAGCTTAACAATTGGTATTGTTCATTTCTTGTTTAAGGTCTCTGGAGGAGATCCAAACACATCCCATCCATCCAACCGAATATTATTCAATCATCCAACTGAAAGAAACTATTATTGGATCTCCCAATACTTATTCTGTAAGTGTATTCTCTCTCTCTCTCTCTCTCTCTCTCTTTATATATATATATATATAATGCATGTGGTTGATCATCATCGTCTTTAATAATCTTGTTTTAGTTTTGGGCTTCTTTTCTGAATCTTGATCATTCATCATCAACATCTTCTTTTTCTTTATCTGAATCTGAATCTTGTTATTTTCTTTAAATCTTTTTTTCATCATCAAATCTATGCTCTGGTGGAAGGGGGTTTAATTTTGTTTCTTAAAACATTTTTTTTAGGGGTTAATAAGGGGGTGGCTAATGGCACCCCTATCATGTGCTAATGCCACCCCTAAATAGCATTTAATCATTGTGTTTTATAATTTTTTGTGTTTTTTTGTTTTTTTRTRATTATTATTTTTTATTTTATTATTAATTAAAGAAAATTTTAATTAATATATATTATTTATTTTATTTTCTGTTTTATTTATTTATTTATATTATATTTTAATTAATATAAA